ATTTTTTACTGAAAAAAATTTGTTAAAAAAATTGTTTAAACAAATTATTGTTATTTTTTATATAAAGTTACAGTTTTTTCTGATCATTACAACTTACTTTGTTGACTTCACCGTATGACCAATAGAAAGTGATTGTCAATAATTAACAATAAGATTTGTTTAAAGAAATTATTGTTATTTATTAATCTTTTTAACATAAACTTATGAACTTGGAGTTAATTTGTTTTGGTGATGGTAGTCAGCAAATATGTAAAATTTAGAAAAAACTAGTTTTTTAAGTGTTATTTTAGATAATAAATAAATAAAAAGAAAAATTTGTTTAAACAAATATTAATCCTACGCTTGGAGAATTTTTAATCACTAATAACAACTAGTTTTTTAAGTGTTATTTTAGATAATAAATAAATAAAAAAAAATTTGTTTAAACGAATATTAATCCTACGCTTGGAGAATTTTTAATCACTAAGAACTGTATCCGGCTACGAAAGTTGTAAAATTGAGAGAAAACTCCAAGTTCATAAGTTTATGCTTAAAAGATTAATAAATAACAATAATAATTTGTTTATACATATATCTTATTGTTAATTTTTGACAATCACTTTCTACTGGTTGTATGGTGAAGTCAACAAGGTAAGTTGTAATGTTCCGAAAAAACTGCAACTTTATATAAAAAAAAATAACAATAATTTGTTTAAACAATTTTCTTAACAAATTTTTTCTTAGTAAAAAATATAACCTATACGAATATTTGTAACTACCAAGCGAGACGAGAATCTTTCCATTACTTTCAAGAACATGTGGTTAACTCCAGACCGAACAAAAATGCAACTTGCGGAAATGACAGATTTGAAAAATCAGTTGGCTGTTCCAAAACAAAATGGAGAAGAAGATCTGAAATTAGTGTTACGTTATGGAAACCCAGTTTTGGTGAGGAACCAACATTTGATTGACCAATAAGACATGATACTTCTATACATCGACAGTTCCCCCTCTTCTTCTTACAACACTCACGTCTCTTCGGGAATATACTACCAGAACGTCAGAGGTTTGCGTACTAAAATTCATCACTTACGTCAAAACATTCCTCTCCATTCTTTTAATTTTATTATTTTCACGGAAACCTGGTTGCATTGGGTTTTTGTAACTTCGACGTTTTTCGAGTTGACACATGTAAATCTACTAACCAGGGTTCAAGATGGGGTAGAGTGCTCATAGCAGCCAAAAATTTCTTAAATTACTCAGTTCTTACCACTAATTTTGATTCTATTGAATATATTTTTATTAAATTTATTAAAGACTCTACTCTTTATATTATAGGCTTTTTTAAATTAACCCCAATTCTACAATAACTTGATATAGAGACATGTGAAAGATAATTGAAATTATTGTTGATTCATATCCAGAAGCTAATTTATGTATATTTGGTGATTTTAACCTATTTTTTTAAATTGGAACATAAATAATTTTGGACCAATCTGCACTCCTACACGGAGAAAAATGGAGCTGAGTTTCTAGTAATAATTCCTATGGAATAGTAATAATTATATTTTTCTAGTAAAAATTACTATTAATTGTAAAATGTACTTTTCATGAAGTAAATATTACTATTTATGGTAGTAAAAATTACTAATAGTAATTATTACAGTAGTCACTTTAAAAATTACTACAGATGTAATGGAAATTACTTTGCGATTTTTAAATTTTATAACGCCATTGTAAATTTTATTAAATTTTGTATTAATTTTTACATTCAACATTTTTTAAATATTACTCGTAGAAATTCTAATAAGCACTACTGCGGAATATAAAAATTGCTTCTGCAAGAAACAACTTTTACTATTGCAGAACAAACTTTTTACTCGAAAAAGTAGTAATCCGTACCACTACTACTATACGCCTGTGGGTGTGTGATTACGTCACTACGGTCATGCGCAGCGATCGTAGCCTGACGTTGTTAAAGTGATCCGACATTTTCGGGTTAGAAAGCAAAGACAGTCAATGGTCAAGAATATGTTGCCAAAAAATGGTTTTAAATTAACGCATATTTTATAAATGAAAAATGTGCGCACTTATGTTTACTTGCGGACTCATAATTGTTTTTAGTTTGTATATCTTATATTAATCATATCGCAAATGTTCGATATAATACTCATTAAGTGTATTTTTTTCGACGATATTATACTTATATATAAGTATAAAAAATGTAAATTTCATCTTAATAAAAAAATGTTTGACAATAAATAATTTTAGCATTTTAAATTAATTTTTAATTCCTACATTTTATTTATTTATATCAATGTCCAAAGTATGCAATTCCTGCGTATATAATGAATATCAATTGATTACTTAATTAACTTTTAATTAATTACTATCTAATTAAATAATAAAAATAAATAATATAATAATTATTATACCTATAATAATAAAATAAATAAAAAAAACATAAAGAAATAAACTTCTTAAGATTTTATGTATATTAGTATTAATTATTATTTGCTAATACTTCAAAGTTTTATATACTACAATGTGCAATTCCAACTGTTTCATATATAAAATTTTTATAACATTTGCTTAAATAATTCTTATTTATTTTGTATAAATATTTTATTTTATTTATTTATTTTTTTATTATTATAAATTTTTATATGTTAATTTAATATCTTATCTAAATAAATACAATTTATGATTCATTTTATTAAAGAGGGGTATGTGGGTAAATTACATTTTTGAGTGCAGCGGTTGCGACGGCCGAGAGGCTTAGTGAAAAAGCGTGCGATTTAGGGTTATTGCGTTTAGATATGTTTCGTAGGTAGGGTTCTAATCCGTATAGATGTAAGATTTTCCGATATGTTCAGTTGTTAATTGTAAGTGTGAATATGTTTAAAGAGTGAAACTTGGGAAATAATGAATATAATACGCATAAAGAGTGTTAATTAATTAAAAAAATTTTTTTTAAACGCACTGCTTTATTTTTATTTATTAAAATAAAACGAGAAAATATATAGCTCTCTATACTCGCTTCATCTTCTCATCACGTCGTGGACAAACGCGCAGGCGCGCAGCTGCACACGCGACAGAATTCCTTTCACCCGTACATGTGAGGCGCGTCATTGTAGTAGTACCGATTGCTACTTTTTCGAGTAAAAGTTATTACTATTTCTTTAGGAAATAGTAATAATTGTTCCGATTCATAATAAAAGTTGCTTCGATCCTAGCATTTATTGCTTGGGACATTTTAAATATTACTCAGCTTTTAATAAAAATTATATTCCTTGAGATGAATTATTCTTTTTTGAAAAAAATAAAATTTCTTTAAAAAGAAACAAAAGTTATTATTTCTTGAGCAGGTCCAAAATTACTATTTGAAAGTAGTAATTTTTGATCGAAAATGTTACAATTATTACTATTTATTTTTCTCCGTGTAAAAACAAATCTTCTAATCAGCAACACACAATCTCGACATTAATCTCAGACACTTGCGAATATACTAATTTATTACAAATTAATTCATTTTTAAACGCTTACAATTCAACTTTAGATCTTGTTTTTTGCAATTCAACTTTTTTTCTCTCTGCCTTTCAACAGACTCTGTTTTACCAATAGACGATTACCATCCTCCTTTGGTAGTCGATATTACTGATGATAATGTAAATTTTACTTATAATTATAATTTTTATTAAAAATTATTTTAACTTTTTATTTATAAAAAACAACTTTAATTAAAATAAATAATCTAGTTTCTAAAACAATTCAGATTAATTAAAGTTAGGGAAGTAATGAAAAATTTGAAAATTATAAACTTTAAAAAAATAACACGTTTATGGGTAGCAAAAATATGTTCCATTTTTAAATGAAAAACAAAAAATACGTATAAATTAAAAAAAAGTAAGCAAACAAGGACAACTAACTTCAAACTCAGGGTGATGAAAATAGAAAATCAATTATTTTATTTAGGTAAATAAATTTTTTTATAAGTATACAATTTTTTAAAATGTTTCTAAACTTCTCTAAATTACTTTTTGAAAAAAGTCCTGCTTAAAATCTAAATATTATGGATATCTCAAACATACCCCCTTTAGTTCATTAGTGATTTAAAAGGAGATTCAGCTCAGAAAAAGGTGATTTTTCAAATTATTAAATTTACAATTACCAGGTAATCACATAAATTTGATTTTATCTTTCTCTAAATTTTCTCTTTCCTTTCGATTGAGAAGCTGTGAAGAATATCTCACTGAGCGCTCGGACGCACGCTCTAACATCAGTCAAGAAGCAGCAAGCACCTCTGGGCACTTATTGCTACCCAACTGGTAGCGTCCGAGCGCTCGGCAAGTTCTTCTTCCCGACTCCTCAATTGTATTGAAATCAGATCCTACATAACTACTCCTAAAACCAAAGAAAAAATCCTGTATTTTAGTCTGAATAAATGATTTTTTATGCGCTTCTAAATGAAGGAGAATATGTTAAAAAGTTATAAACAAATTTTATTTTTTAAACAAATTGTTTAAAAATTAATATTTTTTTTTAAATAATTTTTTTCTAAAAGTTTAAGGTCTTCTGCGTAAAAAACATTTACAACATTTTTCTCTATTTTTACTAGGAAAAAAGTTATAAGTAAATTAAGAAAATATTGCTTAAATTTGTTATTGTAAATATCTCGAAAAATATTAAAAATTTCAAATTCAAAATTTGCACACTTATTTAGCTTATATCACTTATATTTATCACTTATTTCACTACAATTTACCGAATTTTGAGAAAAATCCGAGACATGACCCCATATTCTCATATGAAATGCCTCATATTTTAAACATAGTAAAGATGTTTCAAAATTTTAAATGTAACTAAATGTAAAAAATTTAATCCTTTAGGATTTGGTAGCTTAACTTATTTACAAATTTTTATTGATGTGCCATTACATTTCTTTTTGAATTACTTATATATATATATATATATATATATATATATATATATATATATATATATTTAAAATATATGTTCTTATACAATATAACATTAATAATTTGATTTTTCTACATATGACATTATGTTTATTAAATACTTTCCTTTCTTATAGTTGTCTATATTATTTTAGTAAAATCTCAACCAAAAGAATTAAGAAGGAAAATAAAACTCCACAGTTAAGTAATAGTAATGTTGGTATGGTTTCATATATATTTATGCTACTGACACCCAGCAGCTCTTTTTGACACTGAGGTTCTCTAGCTGCCCACCTTTTTAACTGTCTGTGTCGAATACCCATATCATACAATTTTGCTAATCTGTAAAAAATCATATAATTATATTATCAATTACATCGTTTGGCTTAAAATTTATTTGGATGATTAAAAATAAAAGGTCATTTTTGTTTTTTTTTTTTGCAAAAAAAACTTTAATCTTAATTTATATTATAAAAACTTTTTTAGTAAATTATTTTAAAATAATCAATCATTAAAGACAATTATTAAAAAATAAAACAAACAAGGAGGGGGTCGGAGGTTTTTTTTAATATTGTATTGTATATTGTTTATTTCATAAACATTTTGCTTCCTCGTAGTATGAAGCAAAAAATTTGCATCCTCGTGGAGGAAGCTATGAATTTCTCTAATTCAATTATTTGATTTAAAACATTTCGAGTTAAAAACTGATTTAAATTCATTAAATTTTTGGAAAAATTCAGAAAATTGTAATTCATTTTGGGTGTAACATATACTTTATATATACGAATCGATTCGTTTCAATGCAAGGAATTTAATTATTTTATGCATTAACTTGAATTTTAAAAAACTTTAAAAAACAAAATTTTTTAGCTATTTGACCGACAAATTTTTAAAAATTCAAAAAATTCACTTAAAACATGTTATTTTCGGGTTTCCTGGATCGCTGATTACGAATCCGTTGTCCGTTTTTTCAATTCAACATGGCGGATCCAATATGGCTGACAGCTTTTAGAAAATCAAATGCAATTCAATTGAAACTTGTTACTGGGGGGACAAGAAGACTAGAGACAGGAGGAGTAACTTCGCTTGAGTCATAGAGACAACTGTGACGTATAATATGAGGTCAATGAAGGTGGCGTACTTGGCAAGTAGTCGGTGCAGTAGACTAAAATTGGGCTTCTACGCATATTAATACATTTATCGGTTTACATGGGTTTTCGCCGGCTGATAAATAAAATATATAATTTGACATAAACAATTAATCGAATGATATTTTTGACAATCTTTCAAGTTATCTTCCGACACTGATTGCATTTTAATAAATTTATTATCAGCCTCTTAAATACAAAAAAAAAATTTAGTATTATTATAATGACAAGTACAAATAATATCTTTTAATGCACAAAAAACGTTTTAGTTGATTTGTATTAAAAAAAATCTAAAAAGTTATTTTTTTATTTTAACAAAATTTAATTGGTTAATGAATATTTTACTATAAATAAGTAATTTCTTTTGAAAACATGTTTTCTATCTTAAATAACTAATGTTATTAGATATTAAATTTATTTTTTATTAATTCTATAATGAGAATAATTCTATAAATTCATTAATTGTAAAACAAATTTTTAAAATTTTATTTAAGTAGGAAAAATTTTTAAAATAAATTCTTAAAGTTCGATTTTTATAATTTTTGTAAATATGATTTAAGCAATATATTAGAATTTAAAATTTTGTCACAGTTTTTAGTTTTGTCGGTAAAATAAATTTCAGGAAATAATTAATCAAGTTTTACAGATTTTTAAATAAAATTTTTTATTAAATAATAATTTTGGAAGAATTAAAATTGAAATTTTTGAAATTAATTAAATTTGAAGTCATTTTGAAATTAAACTTCTTTATAATTTTATTTGCTTATTTTGTCAAAATTAAAATTTTAGTCAAAAATTTGTTAAATAATTGAAATAAAGAAAATCTAACGAAGATTTGCATTGTATAATAAAAGACCGTAATTTGTTTAAAAATTATTAAAAAATCGCATTTTATTGAAAAAGTCGTATAATCCGAGACCTGAAATTTATATAAAATACGTTGAACTGCAGTTCGAAAATTCGCCAAGAACTGTAATAATAATATTATTCTGATTAATAATAAGAATAATAATAATAATAATTAATAATAATATTATTACTTATAACCTTTCTATCATAACATTGCCGTGAGCGATTTGATTCGTCATCAGCGACCCCGAAAACCCCCAAGTAACAAGTCTCAAGCGAATTGCATTTGATTTTCTAAAAGTGGTCCGCCATATTCGATCCGCCATTTTGAATTTTTAAAACCTAACACCGGATTCGTAATCAGTAACCCCGAAAACCACCGAGTAAGAAGTTTCAATCGAATTGCATTTAATTTTCTAAAAGTCGTCAGCCATATTGGATCCGTCATTTTGAATTTTAAAAACGGACAACGGATTCGTAATCAGCGATCCAGAAAACCCCCGAGTAAGATTTGTAACGATGTGAGATTTATCCCTACTTTCATGGCGACCAGTCTGGCGACTTTCGGGAGAAAGCAGGAGTGGGATTACAAATAGCGAAAGCGCTACAAAGATTTCGCTACGTAGCGATTCAAAGCTACATTCACTTTAAAAAATTTTCTAGCTATCGGGTGACTTAAAAAAATGGTATCATTTTGATATATTTAGGTTGGTACAATTGTTTTTCTGTGTATTTTTTTTCTCATATTTGCTTTATTTTATAATTTAACAATTTTTTTTAGAATCAAGAATGTTTCAAATTCATAAGGATTTCCCACGATGAAGAAATGAAGCAATTAAAAGAAATATCTGATTTAATTAAAAAAATAATTTAATTTAAAAAATTTATCAATTTTTAAATTTAGGCTGGTAAAGAATATCCTAATTTTTAATCTCATGCAATTATTATTTTTATTTCTTGCAATAAGATTAATTTTCTTAATTTTTATTTATTAAATTAAATTAAAAAAATTTATTTCCCTTTATAAATTATTGTAACATTAAACTAGATAATTTATTTTTAAAGTTGTTATTTATTAAATTAATAGATTATTTGAAATATTAAAGTATAATTTATTTCGTCACGAGTTAATTATTTTATTTCAAACTAACAGTTGGCAAACATGAAGTTAGAGAATTGAATCTACCTTTATGTTGTATTTGTTTGCTACGTAGATAAAATATTTTAGGAAATTGACATGAATTCTATGTCAATGTCCTTATCTAGAGGGGTTATGTTTATATTTTCTTCTAAATTACCATCTTGCAGTTTAAGCTTTGAAGAAATTGTCAACAGTATTTTATTTTTGCCATGATTTGGAACAAATTTCACTAAAAATATGTAAGTTTTTAATTCTAAATAACGAAAAGCGCTAAATAGCGACTAGCGCTATTAGTAATCCCACTGCAGGCGGCTAATTATTTTTACATGTTTACTTGTTGCTCTTGTACATGACCTGGTGAATGTAAAAGTTTTTTCAACCGGGAATTCTTATAAACTAAAACAGGTTTTAAACCATTTGTATCCTGTTATAAGCCCAAAAAAAGTCATGCTGCCGCCCCCTAGAATTGTTTCAATTGGAAAAAAAAGAAACCACAATTTTTAATTTTAAAATCGGTTAATATTTAATGGTGCCGCCAGGCCCTTGAAGTTTCCCATGTATTTTATATGGGAAAAAGCTCCTTTTTCGTAAAATTGCAATAATTTCGTTATAACTTAATATTATTTAATCGGTCAAAGATATTTCTCTTCAGGAGTGTTCAAATTATAAAGTTCTAATGATTATTTATAAAAATTAAATTAACTTTTTTTTACAAGGGAGCAAAAAAACCCCATAAATGCAAAAAAAAATGTAAAATACATGTTTAAAAGTGTTATTAATGTGACGCTCCACAAGAAAAGGGACCTATCGCGCCACAAAATTAATTTCTAGTTTTACATGCGAATCGCTAGTATTTGAGTTGCTCTTTCATATAGAAATGTCAAAAATAATATTTTTCTAATTACTTTTTTTGTAATAAACTTTAAACATGACCATGTTAATCGCGTTCCAGCACGGACTACGGAAACCATCCCCACTACCACTACTACTAGTATACTTGTTGTATCCGTGAGACGTAGGAACGATGTAGTAGTAAGGTAGTGGGGCTGATTTTCGCTGGCACGACGCAGCCAATCAGAACGTTCGATTTTAAACGCCTTTCCTGTATAATTCTGTTTTGTCGCGATAGGTCCCTTTTTTCGTGAAGCGTCACAAATGATTTTATCGATATTTTTCGCATAGATTATATTTTTTACTGAAAAAAATTTGTTAAAAAAATTGTTTAAACAAATTATTGTTATTTTTTTATATAAAGTTACAGTTTTTTCTGATCATTACAACTTACTTTGTTGACTTCACCGTACGACCAATAGAAAGTGATTGTCAATAATTAACAATAAGATTTGTTTAAAGAAATTATTGTCATTTATTAATCTTTTTAACATAAACTTATGAACTTGGAGTTAATTTGTTTTGGTGATGGTAGTCAGCAAATATGTAAAATTTAGAAACAACTAGTTTTTTAAGTGTTATTTTAGATAATAAATAAATAAAAAGAAAAATTTGTTTAAACAAATATTAATCCTACGCTTGGAGAATTTTTAATCACTAATAACAACTAGTTTTTTAAGTGTTATTTTAGATAATAAATAAATAAAAAAAAATTTGTTTAAACGAATATTAATCCTACGCTTGGAGAATTTTCAATCACTAAGAACTGTATCCGGCTACGAAAGTTGTAAAATTGAGAGAAAACTCCAAGTTCATAAGTTTATGCTTAAAAGATTAATAAATAACAATAATAATTTGTTTATACATATATCTTATTGTTAATTTTTGACAATCACTTTCTACTGGTTGTATGGTGAAGTCAACAAGGTAAGTTGTAATGTTCCGAAAAAACTGCAACTTTATGTAAAAAAAAATAACAATAATTTGTTTAAACAATTTTCTTAACAAATTTTTTCTTAGTAAAAAATATAACCTATACGAATATTTGTAACTACCAAGCGAGACGAGAATCTTTCCATTACTTTCAAGAACATGTGGTTAACTCCAGACCGAACAAAAATGCAACTTGCGGAAATGACAGATTTGAAAAATCAGTTGGCTGTTCCAAAACAAAATGGAGAAGAAGATCTGAAATTAGTGTTACGTTATGGAAACCCAGTTTTGGTGAGGAACCAACATTTGATTGACCAATAAGACATGATACTTCTATACATCGACAGTTCCCCCTCTTCTTCTTACAACACTCACGTCTCTTCGGGAATATACTACCAGAACGTCAGAGGTTTGCGTACTAAAATTCATCACTTACGTCAAAACATTCCTCTCCATTCTTTTAATTTTATTATTTTCACGGAAACCTGGTTGCATTGGGTTTTTGTAACTTCGACGTTTTTCGAGTTGACACATGTAAATCTACTAACCAGGGTTCAAGATGGGGTAGAGTGCTCATAGCAGCCAAAAATTTCTTAAATTACTCAGTTCTTACCACTAATTTTGATTCTATTGAATATATTTTTATTAAATTTATTAAAGACTCTACTCTTTATATTATAGGCTTTTTTTAAATTAACCCCAATTCTACAATAACTTGATATAGAGACATGTGAAAGATAATTGAAATTATTGTTGATTCATATCCAGAAGCTAATTTATGTATATTTGGTGATTTTAACCTATTTTTTTAAATTGGAACATAAATAATTTTGGACCAATCTTCACTCCTAAAAACAAATCTTCTAATCAGCAACACACAATCTCGACATTAATCTCAGACACTTGCGAATATACTAATTTATTACAAATTAATTCATTTTTAAACGCTTACAATTCAACTTTAGATCTTGTTTTTTGCAATTCAACTTTTTTTCTCTCTGCCTTTCAACAGACTCTGTTTTACCAATAGACGATTACCATCCTCCTTTGGTAGTCGATATTACTGATGATAATGTAAATTTTACTTTTAATAATACTATACATGGCAATCACTCTAATGTCACTAAATTCGTTTTCAATAATGCTGACTTTACAGCGATCAACATGTACATCGACAATATCGACTGGAGTTTAGTTCTGGACCTTGTCGATATAAATACAGCATTAAATATTTATTATGTACATGTAAATTATTCAATTAAGGCATACGTTCCAGTAAAATCTCATATAAAATCTACACGCTCTTCAACTTACCCGCGTTGGTTCTCGCCAGAATTGAGAAAAGTTGTTTTATTAAAAAACATAGCACATCATAATTATAAAATATGTAAAAATAATGAAAACTGCACAATTTTTTCTAACTTGAGATCTCAATGTAAACTTTTGTCTAAATGTTGTTACAATGATTATTTATATCGAACTGAAAACTCAATAATTAATGACAATAAAGTGTTTTGGAAATATGTAGATCCTGTACGTAAAAATATGCGATACCCACAAACTATGTACCTCAATGATAATAATACCTGTGATAATAACAGTGATATTAGTAATCTCTTTGCAAAATTCTTTAAATCTGTCTACACAACGACTAATGTAACATCTGTTGACTATGTCTTTCCTTCATACGCTTCAATAAATCTACAGAACTTATTTATATCTTGTGAACAAATTTCTGATAAAATTAAAAATCTTGGATGTGAGAAAAGGTGCAGGGCCTGACAACAGGCCCTCCCCTCCTTATAAGAAATTGTTGTAAATCTTTTACAAAACCATTACATATATTATCCAACAAATCTTTGGCTTGAAATATTTTTCCCTATGAATAGAAATAGGTAGTCTGTGCGGATCAATGATGATTTTTCAACTCCTTTTTTTATCCACTTCCGGTGTGCCACAAGGATCGAACCTGGGTCCCTTTTTGTTTACTAATCATATCTCTGATGTCATTGGTAGATTACTCAGTTCCCTGGGTTTTGTCACGAGAAATGCGTCAGTTTTTCATAACGAGCGTACCCTCAGAGTAATATATTTCACTTTTGTGAGAAGTATACTCAAATATGCACTTATTATTTAAATGCCTTATTACGCTTATTTATCAATAAAACTGGAACGTGTCCAAAAACGATTCCTGCGTTTCACAGCCAGACAGCTGAATCTACCATTGAAGTTGCACAACCACAATTATGATTACCTTAGAACGCGACTACAAATTCTATAACTCACATCTAGATTACTTTTTACTGATATGATCTTTTTGTTTAAATTATTAAATGGATTTATTAGTTGTCCTGCATTATTATCAATGATAAATTTTTATGTTCCAACAGGGTCTTCGAGACATTGAATTGCGTAAACTGCTACTGAGGATCCCACCGAATATGTCCGCAGAATACTTTAAAGAATATCCGCCCCACGCCAAGGTTTCTTTAAAATATGTCAGCAAAGTACTTTACGAGGCCAATGGTCGCATACATCAAATTTGGTAAACTGCTACTGTGGTTTTTTCTCGAAAAATAACCACTTTTGGTAAAAAAAGCATACAACCTAAAATGTGTGTTTTTTTGAGACCTAAAACTTTTATTAGGAACAGTTTTCGAAATTTTGCGTTTTTTACAAGATAATCGCAAAAAAACCATTATTTTATGGTATTTTTTATGGTTTTTACCCTGATAATCACATTTGCGCCAATTTCCACTATCATTTTCGTAATCAGGGCACCAAAATACGTTAGTATACCAAGTTTTATTGTGATCGGAGGTAAGACGCTTTCGGAACTATATCCGAAATATCGTTGGCCGATTAAGAAATATTAAGTTATAACGAAATTATTGCAATTTTACGAAACAGCAGCTTTTCCCCATATAAAATATATGAGAAACTTCAAGGGCTTGTCAGCACCATTAAATATTAACTGATTTTAAAATAAAAAAAAGGGATCTCTTTTTTCCATTTGGAACAATTATAGGGGACGGCAACAAGAAAATTCTAAAAAATTAATTTTCTTGTGTATTTTTGGGTCACCCTACTATTCAAAAATAAAGTAAATCACTCAGACCGAAATATTGAAAATACGACGCGAAGCGCTACCAGAAAAGAAACTAAGTCTCCATAAAACATAACTGCGCAGAAGCGTTACTCAACCCGAAATATTATATTTGTTATCTGGGGATCATTGCCAAAAATGAAGTTATGCGAGTAGGTTTCAAGATCGTGTACATGCACATTCGCGGGATCTTGTAGAAGAGAGCAGCAAACGAACCTGTAAAAGGAATTGGAACAAAAAACATATGTACATGAACATTTACAAGTACATGCAAGTGTACATGTTTGCAACAGTTTTGGATTCAAGAACTTGAACATGTACATGTTCTTGCACATGTCCATGCGTGTACAAAAAATATTTCTTTTTAACTCTACAATTTAAGGTAATTTTAGGAAAAGATTGACCTACAATTATAAGAACAGATTGTTTGTACATGCCAAAAACTACTGCGCAGCCTGTGAAGAATTTGGAAGATCGTTAACATTAACAAATACAAGTAATGTATTAAAAAATTTGTAAATGATCAAACCAAAACTGTCGCAAACAAGTACACTTGAATGTACTTGTACATGTTCTTTGTTCCAATTCCTTTTACAGGTTGGTTTGATTCTCTTGTACAAGATCACGCGAATGTGCATGTACACGATCTTAAACAAGAAAATGTACATGATCTTGTACAAGATTTGTATACGTTAAATTTTTTTATGAAAAGCATTAAAAGAAAAATTCTAATAATAATTATTACTTTTTCTTAGCATAGGAATAATTTTAATCGTTCTTTTCCCGTGTTCTTTCCCTTTGCGGAATAGAGTAATGATTCCACCCGACATTATCTATGCGTATCAAAATTTCCCTTATATATTGTGTTAAGGCGAGTTGTCCTTGAAGCTTTCCCAGTAATATGTATAATGAATTTTGATAATTTAAAAAAAATTTGAAATTAGATTGTGAAGGTTGTTTTTTAATTTAAAAACATACAGTTTTTTAATTTAAAAGCATACAGTTTTTTAAAAAATGCAAATTTTTAAATAATTACCGTACCCAATTTTAGTTATTTCTGTAAATGGACTTCCTTTGCTGACATAAAGAGCTAATAATCTAGGATGTACCATGTGCACAGTTGTAAGTTCACAAATTCGTTGATTGTCAAATAATTTTTCAATATATGGATATAAAATGTCTGTTTCTGAATGATATGCAAAGTCTCCTTCGAATACTTTGTTGATTCCTTCTTCCGGCAATAAAAATCTTTCTGATTCTGGTGTTGTAAGCCATTTGTTATTATAAAACTTTTTTGTTTCCCAATCGTCTCTCTAAAATGAATAATTTTTATTCAAACGTATGTCTGTACATTGATTTAAACTTCAAAATTTTGACTGAATTTGTCTTTTTCAACGTCAAAAATTCCAAAAATGACCATACTAAATTTCATGTATGTATGGATGTACGTCTGTCACAAAGCTTTGTACGTCAATCACGCAAAAACGGCCTAACCGATTTGCATTACATTTGGCACTGTATTAGGTATTATCATAAAAAATTTCCAAATTATTCATTTTTAATTGGTTGTTTCTAAACAAATCTGTACTTATGAATTACAGATTTGTACCTACATAAAAGCAAAAATTTGACGAATATTATAGAAGAGCCATAGAAAATGCAGTATATTATTGTTTATAATCATTGTATTCTTTTGAATGTATGTATTTTTGTGATGGAATATTTAATAAAGTTTTTGATGCTGTGTGGGTAAGATGTATGATTAGTTACCTTTACGTGGTGCATCTTGGAAACAATATCATTGAAAAGCTTAAATTTAATAAAAAAATTTAATTTGGTATCATTAAGTTTAAATCAGAATTAATGTTTAAGGAAGATATAAGTTTTAATTGACATTGGTTAAGTAACAATCAAGTATTTATATCATTTTTAAACAATGTAAATTAATTCTGAGCAATTTACAGATGATTCTAGTGAAAATACTAAGTAAATATTTAATACTTTTTGTACAAAAGTACTGTAAGTCACGCACCACTAGATATCGAGACCCGCCGAAAGCAGGGCACGGTGGGCAGGAAGCGACGATAGGTTGAACAAAAATGTCGACAAAATCGGCAAGTGGGCTTGTCTTTATTGATGTTAACAGGTGAAAAATCAGTTTCGACCGAAATCCTAGCTGCTCCTATCTCAAAGTTATCCATATTTGAAATTTTTTTGTAATAGGATCAATTTTGGCGAAATAGAAAAGTCGCGCTCGCTTGTATGTATTAGCATATAAATGTATGTAAGTGTTTAGCTGTTTTTAACGTTTCCAGGGTACACCACGTGGAGGTAACTTACTCTGCACCCTTCTTTTTTTTATTATTTGAATTTTAAAAAAATTTTTTACATTTTTTAAAAAAATGTTTGTATTTTTTAATTTAAAAATGCCATTACAGTTTTCTTTAATCGACTGTCAATCATACAAGTTTGTGTCGATGTTTAAATGTCCGCATGAAAAGAATATTTACACGAAACTTTGAGGAAATATTACACTATAAATATTCACGTGCAATGTTCAGTCAATGTTGTGTCAATATTCACCTATACTTATTATATTAGTAAACGAAATTTTTATAACTAGGTGAAAATGTAATTTCAATATTGACACAACATTGACTGAACATTGCACGTGCATATTTATGTGTAATATTTCCTCAAAGTTTCGTGTGAATATTCTTTTCACCTTGCCACTAAAGTTTCCTAACCTCCCCATGTGAGGTTCTGTCAAGTTTCAGGAAATTTTGGGTGCTGTGTGGGTAATTATTTAAATTTTAAAATGTATTTACTATAAATTCTTTTCTCCAGAATAAATTATTTCTGACGTTTTTAATTAGGTGGGGGGTGTCAGAAAAAAGAAACATCTCCCGGTTTACGTCAGTGGGTGACAAATGCAATTTTGAAAATTTTTTGTCTCCATTGCAAAAATCTATAAGTGGCATGTTAGCGCGTATGTAAAAGCAAACGTATGACAATGCAATGCTCTGAATTCCTATTCTGTTTTTTATTTGTTACTTTTGACACAGTATGAGATTTTGAACACAAACTCGCGAATTAGAATTCTTTTTTTTTACTCTTTTCTTCTACTCTAGAATTTTTTGTTCAGTTTTTTTTTTAATTTTTACAAAATTTTCAACTTTTTTCGTCGTCATTTGAAGACAAAAGAAGAGGACAGCTTCTATATCTTGTAAATTCTTCTTTATTTTTAAAAGAAATAGAAGTATCAACAACTGAGTTAATTTCATCACATATCTGTGTTCCAAAGCTGTATTTGTAATTATCAATTTTCTTAATTAAATCTTCCATTTCGTTAATGTTTGAAATTTATTTTTCTGAAAAAATATTCCTGAAATGACCGAACAAAAAATGTGGATTTGAGTAAACTACACGTTATATTTGGTATATTTTAATTTAATGCCCGAGACGCCAGGTTATTTTGTGGAAAATAACCAAACCATTTATTTAATAAATTTAATATGCTAGCCCAGCTGTAAACAAGGAGAGCGGGTGGGTAAGGAAAATCACCAATATAATTTTTAAACCACACTTTAATTATAATATGAAACAGGTCCAGAAAAGACCTGTGAAAACACAGAAATTTAGTTATAATTTGAAACAAGTCCTGAAGGGACCTGTGAAAACAAACAAGTTTTCGTAGAACAGAGTTTTTATTATTTTAATATTTTAGATGATCAAATCCGCCGAAAGTTCACTTTAAAACACTTTAAATGACGAGAGACTCACCGGGATACGCCGCCGTCCTCGTAGTAGACCTCGTCTCATATTTTACTTTTATAAACACAAATTTAATCTCAAACACAAAATCTCAAAGACACCGCTGTCGAACGCCAAAACGAGAATGATTAAAAATGGCTGTTCGTCCGCGTAATCGCGTCCGTTCGTCGCTCTTCGTCTACATGGTGAGTCTCGCCCGAGTTACAAAGGATCCACCATTGGTAATCGATGCGCGTCAGATGGTAACTTCATTAGTTATCGACGGTCGAAAGAAAGTTCGATAAATGACCGATAGGGGCGCTGCACAATAACATGTGTCTGGAAGATGGCGATGACCAGTGTTTTGACAGGTCTCTGTTATTGAAAATGGATCTTCGTTTTCCTGGCAATGTAGAATAATTGGGACTCACATCCAATTATACATGCCAGAAAACACCTCCCTTGATGTCCTGCCTCAAGGATATTCAAGTCGATGATCAACCCGACAATTGTGGAATTGGGGAACTTAACCCAGAGTGTTATTTTATGTAAAGTAAGAGAAAGAAAAGTGTTAGTGTTATTCTTAATTTTTTTTATGATCGGTGAACAATCATCTGACGATTCGCCCATAAACGACATTATGGAATTTATTGACATAAAGGTAAAATAAAAAGTGATAGAATTGAAGTGAAATAGAGTGTGATTCCCGCTCTGGCGTTAAATTGACGATAAATTAATTATTTTTATTTATATGGAACGCAGGCAATAAAATGCCGCGTTACAACTCCCTCCTGCCAAGAGTGAGCCAAGGGGGAACAGACCTGGCAAACCGATAAGCTCTCCTCAAGGAGACTTCCGTCAGATAATTGATCACCCAAAATTATTTCTTAATAAATTTCATATTCATTTAAGTTTTGAAATTTTATGTTCAATTAAAAATTTTCAGATGACCGAATAAGAACTTCAAAATAAATTGTTTAGAATTGAACACGATGTAGTTGCCTAAATTATTCAACTGTTCAAAACTTGAAAGTAAAGTATAAATTAAGAAAGGAGCAGGATTTGGTTTAGTAACACGGTCAAAGACAATGGGTAAAATTTATTTATGTTTTTTTTTTTAATTTTGAAATTCTAAGGTGAGGCAATTACCCTCCGCACAAGGGTTAGTATAAAAATAAAATAATTCTTTTCTCTTTTTTTTTAAAATAATAAATTTTTAATTTTGTTTAGTGAACCGGGGGCAATAGAAGTAACTGTGACCACTCTGGCCACACTTGCCACAGATTCCTCGACGGGCCTTATCGGCCCCCCAGAATTTAGCCTTCCTGGCTCGCTGGTACTGCGGCACTTCCACGTGCAGGACCCATTTGTTGGACGGTACTGGGGTAACGGGATCTACCTCCCCTGCTTCCTCGGGAATTGGCTCCAGACTTACGGCCTTCGGAAGGTAGCGTTCTTCCTCCGGCGTCAATTTGATGGGCTGAGCCCGCCCAATCGCTTGGCGGATATTTTCCAGGTCATCCTCTGTAAAGAGGGAGGCCTGGGAAGGGAATCGCCCTCTCGTCAGTAGGTGGCGTGCAGCCACCAACACATCCGGATCCACGTCAGGATCCGCCACATCCAAATGCTGCCTTGGATGTAATAATATCTCTTCTGTCAAAGAAAAGTTAAAGTCTTACTTCTTTGGTGTACTCTCGACACCAAGGGTCCAATTTCTGACAGAACGAATTGAATTCAGAATTTAAAACGAATAAGATCTATTACGGAGTTTGTGACGGTGAACGCGTTCTACATCCATTATAGGTTCCGTCAACACAATTGGGTCAGTTTCCGATTCCGTCCTATTAGATTCCGAATCAGACCAGTGGATTTCTAATAGATCGCGGTCAAGAGATTGATCCTCATCCGAGTCATCCGAATCGCTACTAATATCTTCCGCATGATACGGTTGAAGGTGAGATGCGTGATATCTCCCTGAGAGACGACCGTCTAATGACGCTAGTTCATAAATATTCGCAGATATGATTTTAATTACCATAAAGGGGCCATGGAATGCAGGGGCCAACTTACTTGCTATATTGTCGCGTTTATTTTAGAGGACGTGGAGCGGTTTCTTAACTAAGTCCCCGATTTCAAAACGTTGGTCCCGATAACGGCGGTTATAGTATTTAGCCTGACGGAGAAAAGCTTTGTCTTGGTTTTGAGTTATATTTTCTCTCAGGTCTTTCAATATAGACATTCGAGTTGTCCACTCATTGACATCAGGAGGTGGCAACTCGACTCCCCCCTCCACAAGCCGACGGAACGATTTTAATGGGACGGGTTCTCTCCCCATATTGAGGAACGCCGGGGTGACTCAATTTGTACTGTGAATCGCTGTATTATATGCAAAACGAAAGTCGCCGATGAAAATGTCCCAATTACGGTGGTTATCGCCGATAAATGAACGAATCATGGTCTTGAGGACTCGATTGGTCCTCTCGACTGGGTTCGCTTATGGGTTGTATAAAGGGTTGAACGAGTGGTGGATGTGATAAGCGGTGGTTAATTCTTTTACTGC